ACTAGTACTAGTACTACTAGTACTACGACTACGACTACTACGAGGACGACGACGACTACTACTATTACTATTCATAGTAATAGTACTAGCAACAATTTGCATGGGGTTTCGGTGCATGCTCGACTACAATAGTGACTACAGAGAAAATGGGATTACAAGCGGATATTGCATACGACCTCTTTTCAGAACTTTACATCAAACCCAACACCCTGTCCTCCAGAGTCCAAAGCCAAGAAGAACCTGGTTTAGGGTTTAGGGTGAAGTCTGGCAGGAGAAGGACGGTGTGACGGGACTTCTCCTTGCCACTGCCAGCACTGAGGAGACTTCGCCTGTCTCTTTGTGCTCCGGGTTTGATATTAGCCATACTAACAGCAGCAGGAATAACTACAATACGAACTCCAAGGCTACGAAATACAAGCAAGAATACTGATAGTGGTAGTGATATTCTAACCAGGAGTATGTGCGCTTAAGCTGACTGTACGACTTGCCTGTTAAGCCTTCAGGGCCTTGCGAGGCTCCAGGAGAGCCCCTAGGGCTTTGCTTCCTAGGGCTGATAGGGTTTCGAGTTCAGGGTTCAGGGTTTAGGGTTTCGAGTTTAGGGTTTACGGTTTAGGGTTTCGAGTTTAGGGTTTAAGGTTTAGGGTTTAGGGTTTAGGGTTTAGGACCAACTCCCTCCGGATCGAGACTTTCAGGGCGTCTGTAACGCAGATGCCGGCAGGAAGTAGAGGCAGACCTTTCCAGAAGTGCTCGCGCCTTGAAGTCAAGGCTCTCGCTTCAGGTTTTTAGGGTCAGGGTTTAGGGTTTAGGGTTTAGGGTTTAGGGTTTAGGGTTTAGGGGTTTAGGGTTTAGGGTTCAGGGTTTAGGGTCTAGGGAGCCTAAGTAATTGCCTATACTATTTTGGGGGTTCCTTACAATTATACTCTAAAGGAGCCCCAAACCCTATTCCAGTTATTAAGGCCCCTACATTAGGACCAAGGCTTGGGCTTGTCCTCCAGATCATCTACCACTAAAGAACCCTTGTGCAACCCTATAAATTCCATGGTTCCATGAAGCCCCACATCATAAAAAATCCTAGCCCTATACAGCCCTATGAAACCCTCTGAAACCCCACAGTATACCCTAAGCCCGACCCTAAACCCTAATAGCCCTCGCTTCGTACCTGAGCCTCATGGCTGCAAGGAGCGCCTTGCGGCCACCCACTCGCTGGACCTGCGCCACCTTGCTGCACTTTCAGCTTTCGTGTGTTAGGGCTGTTACGGTTTTGGTTTTAGGACTTTTAAGGTTCGGGCTTTGGGGGTTTAGGCTTGTAGATTTGGCTCTGGCATAGAAAGAGCGCTCCGCCCCCCGACCCTAAACAGCCCTAAGGCCCTAAGCCCTGAACCTTAAAAGCAACACACTCTAAACCCTAAGCCCCAAACCCTAAACCCTAAACCCTAAACCCTAAACCCTAAACCCTAAAACCCTAAACCCTAAACCCTAAAACCCTAAACCCGAAAAGCCCGAGGCCTCAAGACAGCCTCCACGGAGCGAAGGCTGACTTTGGTGGAGCTTTGGCTGCTCTCTGGAAAGCCCTGGTTTAGGGGTTTTAGCCCTAAGGAATCTTTGGGTTCAGGGCTTAGTGCTTTTGGGTGCTGGAAGGGTTCTATAAGGAATTTTGCGGTTTAGGGTTGCCTCCTGAATCCGAAACGCTAAACGTCGGAAGGCTCACGCCGCTAAGCTCAGGGTTTTCTCGACACAGGCAGCTTACTGGGGGTTGAGGAGCTAAAGGTGGCGAGAGTTGAGGATGCTGAGTCCCCTCCCAGTGCGATGTTTGCCATTGCCACCATTACCACACTGCTAGAAGCCTGCCACCAGCACTGCTTTCAGTGCTGCGACCTTTGCCGTGCAGAGCTGCAGCACAAATGCTGGTGTTACAAGCCGTGCCACCACCAACACTAGAAGTGCTGCTTCTAAGACGACGGCTCGAAGAACAGTTGCTGCTGATATCATCAAGATAATGCTTCTTAGCCTTACGATTGCTATTTTCTTGTTGAGTTTGTGGTTCTTATTCTTCCCCTGTCGTGTCATGCGCACCCTACATTTTCACAGCCACGTTGAGGAGCCAATGGTCGACGAGTCCTTGAAGTTCAAGCTCGATGACCCCTCGGTGGACATGGCGCAGAAGGCTCCGGGAAGTGGAAACCATTTTCAGCTCTGGAGCCCCCCCCAAGTCGTACCTAAACAGTTTAGGGATTATGATTAGGGAATAGGGTTTAGATTAAGGTTTGGGGTTCGGGGATTAGGGTTTAAGGTTTCGGTTTAGCCCTAAACCCGAAACCACCAAAAAATAGAACTTTAACTCTGAGCAGAGGCATCGATGCAACAGATCTCCAGCCTTGGTCTGTTGGATATCGATGAGAACGCGGGCAAGTGTGGCTGGGCGTCGAAGCTTCGTGGGTTTGAAGGTTTCGTTCAAACTAAAGGCTCAGGTTCGGGGCTTCAGAGTGCGATTTTTAGGGATTTCGAGCTCGGGGTGCCGTAGGGTTGCGAGCTCGGGCGGGATTTAGAACTTCAACCCTACATCGGTTTTCCGACTTCGGGAACTAACGGATTCTTGGACTCTTGGGTTCCGGCTCTGAGTCTAGACATCTAGAAGTTTCTGGAGCAGAGTCAGACAAGCACCGACAAGTCTGGTCAGCATTCAAGACCTTGAGGCATGATAGGTCAACAGACCGTTGGTACAGACATGTCTTACGTCTGCATCTGCATATGCTACACATACGTAAAGACATACATGCATACATACATGCACCCATACATGCACGTGTATGCATCCATCCGTCCATCCGTCCATGCGTGCATCCGGCCGGCCGACCAGCCGGCCAGCCATGCATGCATGCATGCGTGCATGCATCAAAGTAAAAGTATGTACATATTTACGCATATATGCATGTGTGTATGTATGTATGTATGTATGTAAGTATGTATGTAAGTATGTATGTATGTATGTATGTATGTATGTATGTATGTGCGCACACACACACACACGAAGGCCACGATGCAGCACTGCTTGCGGCCTTGAAAGCCTCGAAGAAGGTGCCTCAGAGAAAAGCGGAGGGGGGGGGGGGCCGTACCCCTTAGAGGAAGCCTTAAAGGAACCCTTTTGGGACCGGGCCGGCTTCGGACGTTGAAGCTGTGCGGATTGGGGTTCAAGGGCAACCCCGAGGTTCCACCGCTCAAACCTCACCTGCAAGAGCCGCCTCTGGAGGTGGTGGCAGAAGAGACGGCGGAACCCCGCACGGACGTGGCGCCCTTCTTGCGTGTGCCTGAGGCCCTTGATGGGTTGAGGGTCCAGGGGTTTAGGGTTTTGGGGTTTAGGGGGGGTCTAGGGGTTACGTTTTGGGGGCTTGGATTCGACGAGTCATCCTCGCCATCGCCGCCATGAATTCAGAGGATACTTGCTTTTTCTTTGTGCACTTGCTCCCTTGTTCGCCTACTTCTTGCTGCTAGCCAGCTCCCG